AAAAATATATTTTTTAAAGTTTACACTGTGTGTGCATGTGTGTATTTGCAAGACATATATAAATGGCAAGACATATATAAATGGCAAACTTTAAAAAAAAAAGAAAAAAAAAGACAGATAGATAGTCCCAGATTTTAATACCACCCCCAAGGTAGAACAGGTGGTGAAAATATAATAAAACATGTTGCGAGGAACTTGTCATGAATTTTAAAAACAAAAACGCCTACAGACCAAATAAACTGCTCTGACACTCGGCTAAATCTGAAGTTCCCAAACTATTTTAAATGACAAAGCAGAAGTTCCCAAGAGAGAGAGTCCAACAGAAATGGTTTGAGGGCAATTGCTGCCGAACTCACACAGAATAGAGCTTGGATAGACAGGCAGAGGCGGAGCCTGCTCCCCCTTGCCACCTGGGCCACTTGATGTTCGCAGACCCTCAGGACCAGACCATGTGTGCAGGGCAAGGAATCTGTCGACAAGCTTCTGGGAGCCTCCTGCACCCATCTCCCACCTGCCTGGTGGCTTGTCCATGGACCCAAAGGCAACTGTTTGGGGCATTTGACCAGCAACGAGCCTTATGCTTGCCAGTAACCACGTCCAGATGTCCTGCTGGAAGGCAGGCGGGAGCCCGGGCCCTGGTGGAGGGGGACACGCTCCCTCAGCAGCGCCCCCTACAGGCCCTCGCCGTTCGTTCATCACAACCTCACCTGCCCTTCAATCTTGGTCGCATTTGAAAGCAGCACAGAGAGGAAAGCACAGCTCTATTTCGCAATAAGAGGCAAAGTGATTTACCCAAGATCACAGAGCTGAGATGACAGCCCTAAATGTCTGGCTCCTTGTCTAGCCCTGTGTCTACTAGAATAAGCTCATTAAGATCATCTGGGGATGAAGGGTGGGGAGGGGTCCCATTCTGGTCCCCCATTCCAGGCTCCCAAGTTCAAATGCCTAAAGAGGTCAGAAGAGGGGTGGAGGAGGTGAGCCTGCCGTACAGCGCACTGGAAAGCCCGTGTCAGGACAGGCAGCTGCCTCCGGGCATCATCAGCGCATTGCTATTACACAAAACAGCCAAGTGAAGGCAGAGAGCCGAATCTTTATGTGGAATGTCCTGGATATTTAAATATCGATTTTGTTGCCAACCACTAGGATAACTACTGACAAAAAAAAAAAAAAAGACTTCC